GACGTCATGTGTATTGCGAAAACTTTCAGTACTTTTGTTGTTTCGCTATATTTTCCGCTTCAAAAGAGTAATATTGAAGCATAAATTGGTCTAATTGTTTTAAAAACATGCCTAAGCCACGACAGAGTATTCAAGGTACTAAGTGTTTTTCGTCTTTGTTTTGTATTTTAAATTAACATTTGTAGCTACGAAATTGGCGTCGCCAATTTTTACGAAATTTGCGATGCATTTTTCAGTGTTTAGTGCTTGAAATATTTGCTAAAATTGACCGGGAATACTTAGAGATTTCATCGTAGAATGGCTTAGTCATGTTTATTTGCTCTTTGACTAAAATGTTTAGCTGTATTATCGCTAAACATGCCGTTTTTGAGAATTTGGTTTGCAACTAGGTTGCAACGCCATCATCCCATTGAAAGCATTAGGTCACGTCAGCTAGTTTCCTATCCATGTATTTTATTATCCATGGTCCAAGTATGTTTAGCCACAGCAGATTTATCTTGCTCGGCCTTCTCGCAATTCGTATTATGTTCCGTACTGAGAGATTTCGATCAGTTTCACCAATGTAAACTAGACCACATTCACAGACCACATTGTGGTGTTTTCATAGCATTATATATTTATTTATATCAAAAAACGTTCCAAATTATTTTTTTATTTTGCAAATTTGGGCCCCCCTTTACACCGGGGGCCCGTGCAAATTTCCCCCTCTGCCCCCCCCCCCCCCCACACACACACTGAAAGGCCCTGTGTATAGTGAATAGAACATCTAAGAATGGTATAGTTTTATCCTTCTGTACTTCAAAAGTAAACTTTATGGAAGGATGCAAACTATTAATGTGATCTAGAAACTTTTGTAAATTATCTAGTCCATGAGACCAGCTACTCAATGTATCATCCACATATCTAAACCAGAAACCAGGTTTAAACGTTGCAGCCAGCAATGGCCTTCTTTTCAAATTCCTCCATGAACAAATTAGCTATAACAGACGACAATGGACTTCCCATTGGAGCGCCGTTTGTTCATAGTATTTCTCCCTCCATTGAAAACATGTCGTGGTCAAACATAATTTCAACAAATCATGAACATTTTCAGGAGAAAGATTAACTCTTTGAGATAATGTAATATCTGAAAGAAGTGTTTCTTTCGCGATATTACAAGCCTCTTCAACCGGAACGTTAGTGAACAAACTAACTACGTCAAAACTTACCAGAATGTCATTTTTACCCAATCTAATTTGTTCCATTTTTGTTACAAATTCTTTAGAATTAACTAAATGATGTTCTGTTTTTCCAAGAACTGCCTTCAATATCTCGGCGAGATATTAGCCAGGACATACGTTGGCGAACCTATGGACGCTACAATAGGTCTAAGGGGACATTTGGTTTATGTATCTTAGGTAAACCATAAAATTTTGGACAAACAGTAGCTGAAGCTTTAAAACAATTATGTGCCTTTTTAAAACCAGATAGTTTGGAACATATTTTACGTTCAATATTAGCTGTAGGGTCTCTTTTAAGCTATTTGTTTGTTGAAGTGTTTAAAAGAGCCAAGATTTTATTATCATATTCTAGACGATCTAAAATAACCGTAGCGTTACCCTTATCAGCCTTTAAAATATGTATTGACTTATCTGCTGTTAAGTTTATCAATGCATCCTTCTTATTCTTGGTTAAATTCGAAGCTGGTAGCATTGCACGTCGTAGAACCTCAGTGATTTCGACGTGGATGTTACCAGCTGCATCTTTCGTCAAGTGGTATAACTTAGGTTCCAAGCGTTGTAAAATTCTTCTTTAAGGCGGTTTTCCAGTCCTCACACGAAGCTCCTCGCTGCGAGTGCTTGCATCAGCTAATTAAAATTAACTGTTTTGCATTGTGATTGGATGAAAGTGCTCATGCATCACTCGCAGCGAGGAGCTTCGTACGAGGACTGGAAAACCGCCCTTAGGAAGAGCACGGGGTACCACAGCGAAATTTAATCCAAGAGCCAAGACATCTTCTTCAACCGGCGTAAGTCTTCTAACACTCATATTGATAACGGTGCGTTGTAATGAATGACTGGCCAAATCTTCTTGTCTGCGATGCGTCCGACCAATGGACGTCAATTTTGTGAATTTGGCAATCTGAGTGGAACGTGCTTTGTTGAAAGATTTCGTAGAAGACGCAGAGATCATTCTTTTTAGCTGTCGCATGGTGTTCTTCATTTAAAGTGGCACTCGCGTCAAAATTTTTATTTTCGTATTTTCTTAAAATGCTCTTAAAACTGTATAGTAACTTGTTTTGAAGATTTTTGTTCCCATGCTCAGTTCGTGAGATATTTCATTTTGTTTGTAACCGTGTGACGTTAATGACTCAATTACATATATAATGAGACATCAGTAATTGTTGTGTATCTTTGCTGTTTTTGATGGTTTGTTTAAAAAAAACCAGTTTGCTTAATGATGTAGGTTAAATTAAGAAACGTGCCGCATCTTTGAAAAGATATGATAAAAAATAGCAAAGATATACAACAATTACTGATATCTCATTACATATGTAATTGAGTCAATGACGTCATATGGTTACAAACAAGATAAAATATCTCAAGAACTAAGCATGCATGGGAACAAAAATCTTCAAAACAAGTTACTGTACAGTTTTAAGAGCATTTTCAGAAAATAAGAAAATATTAAGAAAATAAAAATTTTGACGCGAGTGCCACTTTAAAGTCATCCAAAGTTCTTCATTCAAAGACGAATACATTCATCCACTCTGCATAATTGTCTACGAGTCCAAGCAATTCGTTCTCGTACTAATGCCAACTCGGCTTTCATTAAGATCTTTCGAGCATACTTAGTATGATATTTCTTTGAGATGCGTAATCCTTTTGGAACAACCTTGTTGTCTCGGCACCTTTTTAGAAAGGCGAGGTTGTTAACCAATCTTGAACGTTGATTGGTAAGCCGATCGAATCTTTTAGATAGATAGATAGATCTATAGTTTAACTAATTAAAAACATTACAACCCACGGGTTGAATTACGCTTCTAACTTTACAATAAATATTTACTTTATCTAACATACATTGTAGAATTATGTTGTATAAAACTATTTTAAATCTATTCGTCCTACTAATAGAAACGTTGAAAATGTTCTCTTTC